ACGCTGTGTCCAAAAGTCTGCAATATATTGATGCGACATTAAGAAACAGACCGATTCTTCTGCTCGTCTCTTTACTTATTAGATAGGACTGGAGTGTCACTCACTGATAGCCGTTCTATCAGATTACCATACGCTGTCAGAATAGCAAACATGCAGTGAGTACCATGCCTGCGCATTAAGAAGTCCGACAGTCAGAGGAGTTGTCAGTTCACCATACGCAGCAAGTTATGACGAAAATAAGTCATTAAATTGTTTTCAATGATAACTATATAGATATACATGTGTTGTCGTGGTTTCAAAGGGCATTTAAAGCAGGGTCTGGCTGCAGCTGGAGTCAGCTACAACACACGCCCGTGTAAAACTCACTTAACCGCTAAGTCAGGATGCCATACAACTGTTAATAACAGTGTATGACGATCTACGTCATGATTCTATGTTGCTGATTAAATGAAATCTTATGGTAATGACGTGTCTGACAGATATAGCCGTGAGTTTGTGCTAAGCGTATGACGATCTGATAGCACATGCTGACCTGACATACTGGATAGTTATTTCCATCCATCCATCCATCCATCCATCCATCCATCCATCCATTCTCTTCCACTTATCCAGAGTCACGTCATGGGAGTAGCAGCCTATGTAAGGAGGCTAAGACTTCCCTCTCCCCAGCCACTTCTTCCAGCTCCTCCAGGGGAAGCTTAAGGTGTTCCCAGGCCAGCCAAGAGACATAGTCCCTCCAGTGTGTCCTGGGTCTTCCTGTGGGCCTCCTCCTGGTGGGACGTGCCCAGAACACCTCATCAGGGAGGCGTCCAGGAGGCATCCTGACCAGATGCCTGACAACTGACTCCTCTCGATGTGAAGGAGCAGTGGCTCTACTCTAACTCCCTCCCGGATGACTGAGCTTCTCACCTGGTTGTTTAGAGTACAGGCAATTTCTGGTAATCTTCAGAGCATCAAACTTGCGAATTACATATCTCACAGCCAAGACTTAGTGATTGGGTTAAATTAAAAACTCAGACTGAGCCCAAGCCTTCAAATGGCCCCTTTAAGCATTTTTCTTATTTGTCTGCAGCCCATCTAATTTGCTGAGAGAGCACAACTCACATAAAGGGGTCTTATTCCTTGATGTGGAAATCGCAGGTTCAATTCCTGACCTGATGACTTTTGCCGCATGTGTTTCCCCTTTCATTATCCACTTTTCTGTCTACTCTCAAATAAAGGCTGCCTGAGCCACCCCCTCTTTTTTTTAAAAGGATCCTTTACTAGTTTAGTTCTTTATTTGATGTAAACTAAATGATTTGCATAAGATTGACTTAAATCTGTCAACTTGAACCAAATTAATAAATTAAGTTAGATAGATTTAATTGAATTACTTGTTACCGATTGAAGCAATTCAATTAAGTTTGTTCAACTATTTTCTTTTTCAGTGTAGGAGAATTTTTTTTCTTTAAAGTATTTTTAATACATTTTCTAAATCTGGAATCCTGTTTCAGATGTCATAATTGTCATAGCTCTGGGTTGTTTTGAGTTTCTTGATGACTGAAAGCCTTTTCAGTGGAGAGGACGCTGAAATAAACGTATTGTGCAACCAACTCCCGACATCCTGTGCTCCTTTAGCGAGGGTTGGGTAAGCCCTGTGCTGACACGCTCTCTGCCTGGTCCTCAGATTCAGAGTGGGATTTCTAGGAAGGACCCTCATCATTGCGCCATGCTTCCGGCCTCTAGTTCTGATGGACCACCAAACTGAACTTGAACTTTTTTTTTCTTGTTGTTTCCCTGGTAATTGGTTCCAGCTTTCATTTCCTTGATTGCCCCGGTTTGTATATAGTCTCACGTGTCGTTTTTCCGCTGGATCCTTATGTCGTCTCCCTTTGTCTACTCCTGGTGCCTTCCTCTTGTGACTTTGGACCATGTAATGTTGTTTTAGACTTTAATGAAACCATTATTGCAACTTCCAATCCTGTCTGTACATTGATCCATTACTAACCTTCACAAATCATGATTAAAAACTATTTGTATATCTCTGCTTTATTGTGATGGGTCAGTCATAAATGTCTCAACTCTTAGAGTCGACTCCTCACTGAAAGCTGTACTTCTTTATAATCTTCATTACAAACAGCAGTGCAGCGAGCACACCATATTAGAGGTATAGACAGAATAAGAAAGAGAGAGCAGCCATTACCCACTTTTTTCCCACTTGGCTGCTCAGCTTTCTCTTTCAGTCTGGGTAATATTTTCTTGGTGAAATTTCCAGGGTAGGATTACTGAGCAGTTTATTTTTAAGGGGTGAGAACTGATAAGTTGCATAATTTTTATGAGCCCCATTTAGCGCTGCCACTGATGCCACATCAGTGGTCGATAAGCATAAAAAATCAATAGGGATTCAATTAAAATTAGTTAGTTACTGACCTTTGACCTGCAGTTGAACATCTGTCACTCTGATCTCTTCTCTGTCATCACTGATGATGCAGGTGTAGGTACCGCTGTCAGAGAGGTGAGGTTTTCTCAGGGTGAGGCTGAAGTCAAGAGAATCTAAAGCATCAGATTTCATTGATGTTCGTCCACTGAAACGTTGATGTTGTCCACGAAGATCATCTTCATCTTCTCGCCGCAGATGGATAATTTGTGGTTTGAGATCATAGCGTCTCCAGATCACTGCGGGGTTTCGCTCTGGTAAAATACCTGAGTACTGGCATGGTAGCACAACTGATTCTGCTCCCTCAAAAACATTTTCTCCCATGGCAAAAGAATACAGGGAGGCTTAAAGGGAAGAAAAATCAGACAGTCAACAAATCTATGAACGATTTAGATACCTAGTCAAGTGAGTCTTTAGCTCAGTATTAATCTGAGATTTAATTAGTTTTTATGTAGCAGAGTTAATTTTATTTATTCATTTTATTTTTCTTTATGAACCTTCTCAAAACTCATTTTCTTTGAATCAACATGTCTGTTATATATTATTTCTCTTTTATGCTTTTATTTTTGGTTCCTAGTGTGTAAAAATCCACCCTCATCTATGAATATTTGTTTTTTTTTTTGTTTTTTAATTGTATTTTATTTTGGTGGAGAAGCTTTTATTTTCTTACTTCCTGTTTTTGCGTTATATCCTGTGTGTTCCCTGCCCTCCTCAGTTCGCGCCAAGCTGCGCTGGGGAGAGGTAAGTGTACAGAGTTCTTTCATTTGTGTATTAAAATATTTAAAACGTTCTAAAAAAATATGTTGTAAACTCACGTTATATATATTGTTGTTTAACTGTTCATGTTTAGCGCAGCACTGTGCTGGGCATTTGTCTCCCACATTGGTGACACCCATCAAGTTTTCTGTATCAACGTGGTTATTTAATTTTTTCTTTTGGTTGGTTAGGGTGTTTGTGGAGAATCCGGAGCCCAGGAGCTGCTGTGTTTAAACTGTTCTTGTTTTGAACAGGAATAAAACTATCCTGAATCCTGATTCTGGTGTGGTTCTGACTTCCTGTTCCCAGCCGCTACATTTATATTTGTAATATTGTGCATGGGATGGCATTTTGTGGGATGTAAAGAGAAACATAAATTATATTTATTGGTGTTAATGCTCTCCAAATATCACTTAAGTGAAAGTTTTACTTATGGCCTCAGATGATACACCTTGAAGTGTTGATATGTACAGTGGTGGAGAAAGTACTCAAAAAATGTACTTAAGTAAAAGTACAAATACACAGACAAAAATGTACTCAAGTAAAAGTCAAAGTACCACATGAACATTTGTACTTAAGTAAAAGTAAAAAAGTACTGGCTTTTAAAAATACTTAAGTATTAAAAGTAAAAGTACTTGAATACATAACCTAATCGCTAATATCATTAAGTGAACTGATCGTATTTAATGTTAATACATCATAAATGTGCCATTTTAATGAACAATGCCACAGATTAAACATGTTCTTATTGTGTTTATTGTCTGTAACAGTTTATACTTAGATTTGTGATTCTATGAATAATAATAATAATACATTTTATTTCAAAGGCGCCTTTCTGGCACTCAAGGACACCGTGCAAAGAGCGAAAAGTAACAGAAACAATAAAAAATGTAGCAACTAAAAATAGATAGAATAAATACACAACAATGTATCTATATGAAATCTATATATATAGATGTAAAAAATCTATATAAAAAATCAAGCAAACCAATTGTGTCATGTTGAAAAGGCAGATCTAAAAAGGTGTGTTTTAAGTTCGGTTTTAAATTTAGGGAATGACTTTATGTTTCTAAGGTGGGGTGGTAATGAGTTCCAGAGTTGGGGAGCAGAGCGACTGAAAGCTCTGCTCCCCATGGTAGTAAGACGGACAGAGGGGACAGAAAAATGGATGGAGGAGGATGATCTGAGGGAACGAGAGGGAGTGGCAATATGAATAAGATTGGAAAGATATAGTGGGGAAAAATTGTAAAGAGCCTTAAAAGTATACAGAAGAATTTTGTATTCTATGCGGAACTTGGTAGGCAGCCAATGAAGTCTTTGCAAGATAGGAGTGATGTGGTGCATGGATGGGGTTTTAGTAATGATACGGGCAGCTGAGTTCTGGACCAGTTGAAGTTTATGAAGAGATTTCTGGGTGAGACCAAACAGAAGGGAGTTGCAATAGTCCAGGCGTGATGTCACAAGACAGTGAACAAGAATGGCAGCGGAATGGGAAG